TGCGCCCTACCCCCGTGCGGATCTTCGAGCAGCCACCTTACGGGCGATTCACTACTTGGTCGCTTCAACGCACCCCATCAGTGAAGGCAGTTTCCACTCCCCAACTTGAATCTGGTGGTATAGTGTCCTCTAATCCGCATAAAAAAACAGTTTTAAAGGTTGCAGTGCAGAGATGCGGAATAGGGGGAAGTATAATAATTGCGATTATTATTGTTATTATTATTATTATTATTATTATTATTATTATTATTATTATTATTATGGCACACCTGAACTCAAAGTGATCAGAGAGAAAGAGGGAGAGACCAGAAACAGAGGACAGTAAGAGAGACAGAAAGAGTGAGCAGTGAGAGAAAGGAAAAGTCAATGAAGAGGTTCATCCAAAGCCGACTGTGTTAACTCTTCGCTGCATGAGTTTGGAGAAAAATTTCAATTTATTGAGGAACTAATTGAGGCTTGAACTTGATGATTCGTCAGTTGACTGCAAAAATCTGCGACCATGGGAACTTGTCGATCAATTAGTTGACTGTTGAAATGCAACATTGTGTGTTTCCCCCGAACAGGCAGTCGGATGTTAAAACTCGTTGTTTTGAGGGCCTGCAAAATTACTAAAAGTAACAGGGTGTGTGATATCACAGCGCAAAAAAAGCGAGCGCTACTGGTCGCTGAGGACCTCTGAAGCGGGCGTGGCGAGTGACAGGCGCCGCGGCCCTTGGCTTCAACGAACAGTAGGCGCCCCTCCCCGGGTTTCCCCACAACTTTGGCGCCGTTGCCGGGGAGGGGAGCAGCACCCCCAAGGCCGCGGCCTTCCCCAATCAACGGGGGTGCGCAGGCTAAACTAATTAGCTTTAAATAAGTTGATTAGTTGATTTTTTTTATTTTTCTTTAATTTTGTAATTCATTTTTCTTCGATATCTCGCGATCCACGTGCTTTCGCGCGAGCCGCACTGGGAGCAAAGTTCGCCGTCTCGTCAAGGCAAACATTTTGAGATGTTTTTTGAAAAATTCTAACAGCTAGAAAAAAAGATATGGAATTATTTTTATTTTTCTAATTAAAAATCCCAAAAATCATGAGTTAAAATTTTTAATTTGTTTTTCCTCGATATCTCCTGATCCGCGCGCTTTCGTGCGAGGCTCACTGGGAGCAAAGTTCGTCCTCTCGTCGAGGCGAACGTTTTGAGACGTTATTTGAGAAATTCGAACGGCTAAAAAGCGAGATATGAAAGTTTTTATATTTTTTGATTAAAAATTTTAAAATTTTTAATTTTCGTTTTATTGAAATGGCCGGGAAAAAAGCGAAATTAGGGGAACCCTGCAAGGACCCAAGTTGGTCCCTGTATTTTTTCCGACATTTTGAGACCCTAGTCGGGGAAAACGGACTTCGTTTGGACAAACGGCGAGCTCCAACAGATAGAAAAGGTGGAAGAAAATCAACGGGAAATTGAATTTCTTTGTATTTGTTTTTAAATTAAAAGAAAAAGAAATTTAAAAATGTAATCCGACAAGTTTTTCTTCTAAACCTAGTGAGAGCTAACAAAAATTTTCTCGCGTCGAGCAGGGCTTTGCGGTGTGTGTGCGGTTGCGCGCAAAACCCAAAACCCTAATTAGGGGAAACCCTAATTAGGGGGAAACCCTAATTAGGGTAAAGTCCTAACCCCAATTTTGAGAGAAGCGGGTAAATAGAGGGAAGCCATAGCTTCTAGCTTCCGCGTTTGTTGCGGAATATTTTTTGTTAAATATATCCCACAAAATTGTGGAAATTAATTCGGGAAGTTTTGCTCCATTAAATAATTGAAAACTATTTTACTTTTGATTTTGTTATTTAAAATCGATAAAAATTGAAATAAATATTAAAGATTGCGTAGGCGCATTTGTTTGACTTCAGTGCACTTCATATCTACTTTACCTATTTGAGGGACTTTTTTCCGAACCCCATCCCACTGGGGGGAAGAAAAACTGCTGTCGAAATTTCTCAAAATTTTCCTTTTAATTTAAATTTTTGCTAATTAATTAACAAAAATATTTAAAAATCAAGTTAAATTAATTTTTCCTTTTTTTTATTATTCCTTTTGATATTCCCCCTTCGGCAGCGTTGTTTGAGGGCTTTGCCCGAACCCCATCCCAACGGGGGGAGGCGAAATGCTGCCGAAATGTTAATAAATTTTCAAAATTTTATTTCTACCCCTAAAAATTTTCAAACTCGGCGGGCTTATATGTGTATTGATCCTTAATATATATAATATAAGAAAAATATTTTATCCTAACTAAATACATTTTCTTTAATTTATAATTGAAAAATACAAAAGAATTACCTAGAAGAAGAAGGGAAAGAGACGCTGCGGTAACCTGGGTTCGGGTGAACCTATTGGCTTGTTCCCGAAGGCCTGAGGCAAGTGACGGGAATTTTCAGTTATTAAAGCTATTTTTTTTATAATTATTTGATAAATATTCGGATTAAATCAAAAGTCAGGGGTAGAAGGAAGCACGTGCGTACCTCGCGACTCGCTAGGGTTTTCATTACATCCCCCTATGCGATGAGCGCGAGGTAGTGCTTTCTTCTCGTTTATAGGCAATTTTTATCAATTTAAACGATTAAAAATCCCTTAAAATTATAAAAAAGACTTAAAAATTCAAAGAGTGAGTACGCTCGGCAATTAATTTTGGGTTTTTGACTAGCGGATAAGGTTCGTTGCTCGGATACCTACTCGAGGGTGCAGTAAACAGAACTCGCTTGAGTTGAGCCCACGCCTTATATTCGAGGGAACTCGAATATAAGGCCTATAGGCCAATCGTAAACCGGGATTTCAATACCCTTTCCTTTTTAGATCAGTTTAGATTAGTACGACTTCGGTGCAGCTCCAATCCACAAAGGCTCGGTCGATTTGCGCAAAGTGTCAGTTAGGTTGCCGTCACGCCTTCTTCCTAATCCCTTATGTACTTCTCTCTACCAATGTCAATTGAGTTTCTCTCGCATCCCTATTTCTGACTATTAAGAGTATTCCTTTTCTTATACGACAGTTTGCTGTTAGCAGTGTTTCCCCATCCCACCCGCCCTTCTCACTAAGCTTTTTGCATACTGTAGGGTGCCGCTGATCAGGGTTGCGGCCCTTCCGCACACCTCTTCTCTTGGGCTATGCTAACCAGGGTTTGTGACGCTCCCGGACAACTCAAAATTGGTCCGGGCTATCGTCCGTAACCTCTAATTTCAAGCCAGCCCAACGCCCCAACTGAAGAAGTTCCTAGCGTAGTTGTTAGGACATAAGGGACTGTTCACAAACAGGTCCGGGCTGCGAGTTCTGTCATAGGTCCAGGCTGCTGCTACTGTCATAGGTCTGGGCTGCTGATACGGTCATAGGTCTGGGCCGTTATATGCGGCGTAAGTGCCCGACTACAACTTCTGGTAGCCTATGGAACCAGACACGATGGGGCCACAACCGACCACGGGCGAGGCAGGTGAGGAGTACAGGACATCGCCTGACCATGCACTGAGGGGACTGAAGGAACGAATTAGGTTGGGAGCACCTCTGAGATGGGATGACCAGACCAATGACGGGGAACCTTACGTAACGGTCGAACCAGTCGTGACTGAGCTGGTGGAGGCATTGAAGACAGGAACCTCGAGCGGTCGACGAGAAGCGACGAGACGACGCTCCCCCGAGTATGAGCGGAGAGAAACCATGGCGGATAGGCACAGGGATGAGTGGAGAGAGAGTTCGAGGGACTCCTATTGGAGGGACAGAGATAGAGACAGAGCGCCGCACAAGCGAGTCTTCGACCCCCAGACAGGGGAGTCGCATCCGCTCCCTTACGAGAGCAAGGATCGCTATATTATTACGCACAAGGCCTCTGAGCCTCCTACCTTTAGGGGTTATGGCATCACATAATATCTGGAGAAGTGGGAACTTCATGCAAGCCGGAGTCAGTGGTCGGATGAGGAGATTGTGGAAAACTTCATATTTAATGTAGATCCAAGTCCCGACAAGGAAGTTAAGGAAGCCCGACCGAAGGATTGAAAGTGGACCACGTATAAGAAGAACCTCATTGAACTTTACAAGTTGGAGGATAACAAGTACTCCATCAAGGACCTTGAGACCATGACTCAAGCTGAGGACGAGAGCGTGAGGGCATTCGGGAAGCGTTTCCAGAAGATCTCTGACGTGCTAATGGAGAAGGGAAATATCTCAGAGGTTGAGCGCTGTACTATTTTTATTGGACACCTGTCCAAAGGGAGACAGAAGAGTATACTTAGAGATCTCCCGTGCGACAAGCTTGACTTTCCCGAAGTTCTAAAGCTCGCGATAAAGGCAGAGGCAGACGACTACAAGGACTTGGTATGGAGAGGAATGAGGAGGCGAGACTTCTCTCTTTATAAAGAGTATGCCACTGATAGATGCCCTGACTTCAATGACTATCCCTGGTCGGAAAAAAAAAAATGAGGCGGTAGCTGAGAAAGTGAAGGAGATAAGGGACATGGTAAAGGGATTGACAAAGCAGGTTACAGAGATTGTGACCAATAAGGGAGCCACGACATACCGGGACAAACCCGGAGGGCCTTATTCACTTCGGTGGGACCGTAGGAACACCGATTCCTGGAGGAGTGTCGAGGATAGAAATCCTCAAACGCTAACCGATTATCGAGTAAGGGAAAGAGAGAGAGACGATGAGCCATGACGATGAAGGGATGGTGAGATAGACTGAGACCGAAGAGTTCACGAGACGGATACAGGGATGGCAGATATGAGAGATTGAACCGAGATGGATATAGGGACGACAGATATGAGAAGTCGGATCGAGATGGATACAGGGGTGGCAGATATGAGAGAGGAGATCGAGACGGAGACCGACGAGATGGCTCGCGCGGACGATGTGACTGCGGGGGATTTGCGAGAGAACAACGTGACGATTCGCGGGGGTGGTACAACCGAGGAGATCGACGCGATGAGTCACGCGGGCGATACGACTCTGGAGACCGCTGAAACGATTCACGAAGACGATATGAGCTAGGAGGATCGGGAGGAGACCGCCGCAATGATTCGCGCGGCCGGAATGAGAGAGGGGGATATGGCGCCTCATCGGAGTCGTATCCCAAGTCCCTGACCCCAGGGCAGCCAGGGGTTCGATCTCTAGGAGCGCAGACGGCAGGCCATCTATGCCCAGAAACTCATGCGTCTACTGTAGAGGAGATGATCATATCAAGAGAGACTGCCCGGACCTCAAACGGGCAATAGATGAGGGACTTGTCGTGCTTGATGACCGCAAGTACGTCAAGTGGGCAGATGATCTGGGAGATGTATCGATGTTCCCTTTGATGAAGGAGAATGTCGAAGCAAGGAGAGTAAAGCCGAGTGGAGGAAAGGAGTCAGTTAGGAGCCAGAGCATCAAGATAACTTTCGAAGGAGATATGGCAACCACACCCATAAGGGTGGCAGCTACCAAGTTCGCTAGGGGGTCTACATTGAAGAAGACTGACACGGATTACGTGATGGCGGAGAAGGACGGACAGCGGATCGATGGAGAGAAGGTTATTCTTTCACCGCGAAAGCGGGGAGTGAAGAAGTTCTTGATGAAGAGTTCGCTGGATGAGATTGACACGGTCGAGCCATTGAGACGGACCCTTCGGCAGCCCATGCAGTGCTCTATTATGGAATATCTGGCGATATCCAAGCCGGTTCGCGACGAGTTACAGATGATCACGCGGAAGACTCGCATACCTCTATCAGAGGAGGCTCAGGTGACCCCTAAGGCGGATGTTCCTACTGTAACAGTATCGGAGGTGGAAGCTAGAGCAGATCGCATGGTGACAGTTCTTCTTGATGAGATGGAAGGTGTGCCTCCAGACAAGTTTTACATACTTGGAAGTGGAACCGTGGAGGCGGTCCTAAACGACAGAGCGGTTCTGGATGCTGTGATCGATAACAACAGTGAGGCTGTCATTATAGAGGAGGATCTGGCAGTGCAAGTTGGACGGGGCCTCGATAGGTCATACCTATTCGAGATAGAGACGACTGATGGAAGAAAGCAACAGATCACCGGGGCTTGTCACAAGGCAGCTATAGAGGTCCAATGGGTACGAGTGACCATGCCGGTCTTTGCAGTCAAGAACTGCAACTCTAACCTGCTCTTGGGACGGACCTGGTTGAGCCATGTGCATGCGGTGACGATAGAGCAACCGGACGGGAGCCAGACACTGTCCATTAAGAAGTTAGATGGGACGCGGGTTATGATTGAGACGGTGGAGCCTCGAGATCCAAGGAACAGAGCAGCTCTCACTGTAGGAGCGGGACCCACTGATCGGATTAAGTCATTACCTGTCTCCAGCCGCGCGGTGCGATTTCGCGAGAAGAAGTACGGGCCTCAACTTACGGAAGAAGAAGGGCGGATCGTCGAAGTGGAAGATTTAGGAAATCGACTGATAATGGATGGGAACTCTTATCCAAAGGAAAGGAACGAAGAATTCGGCGACGTGATATCTGTGTCTTTTTTAAGGGCGCAACCCCCCCTACGCGGAGCAACCTAAACACCACAAGCGAGTAACTCAGAAAGTTAAACCTGCTGCGGTACGTCGAGAACGATCTGCGCTAGAAGGAATATCTGAAGAGGAGATCGCCAAAAAGATTAAGGAAAGGAAAAAAAAAAACCGCAGCGTTTAATAGAGGATAGGAGAGCAGGGATGGATATCGACGATGGGAACTTAACCCCGCAGGAGAGAGAACGTGTACTAAGGGTACTCAAGACTTGCGATAAGGCTACAGCTTTCAGCGACGAGGAATGAGGCCGAATTGACCCTCGTTACGCTAAACGAGCGAGGATCTGCACGATTTCGCACACTCCACAATCAGAGCGGTTTTTAGCAGCGCTCGCTGGGGGTGTGTTTGTTCGGAAGGATTTTACCGAATTTTTCTCACCTTTCCCGCACAAAACCGGCGACGTGCACTCTTAGAAACGCAGTAATTAAACATTTGTTTATTATTATTTTTTTATTAATCATTAATTAAAAAAAAATACTCCATCAGAAAAAATTCTCTTTTTAACGTGCACCCATAGACACAAATTTTGATTTTTCCATCGGGGATTGTGGCCCTACCACCCACCTCTTCTCTTAGATACTGCTGACCAGGGGTTGCAGCCCTCCAGAACAACTCTAAATGGGTCTGGGGTGTCGTCCGGAGGTTTAATTTGAGTTTGCGCAAGTTGAGGGCTCGACGGGGGCATCAAGAAGAGGTCCGGGCTAGCTGTCGAGCGGCCACAGGCAGTGGGCCACCCGAAATCAGCGGTTTTGAGTCTTCGACCCGATGACTAGACCGTATTTTGACGGTACTCTTGTTTAACCTGATGGGGAAAATTAGGGGTACCCAGAGCACCTCTAATTTTGGATGTGCTGACCACTGAGAGTAACCCTCAAATTAATGAGGGAAGTTACCGCTTCTACCACGCTATCGGTGGGAATACCCTTACAAGGGTATCCGCCCTTGTTTTTGCAAATGACAGAAAGTAAATTTGATTTGGAATTTTGAGTAGACCGCGTAAGTAGCGGCAGTCTATTGGCTGAAAGTTTGACTGGAATGTCTAGAAGTAGAGAGTGTGTGGGCGCGCGGATCTGAAGCGCGCGTGATTTCTTTCCCCGTTGATGATTGTAAAGCCGGCACGGACGCCGGTTGCCTTGTTTTATTATTATTATTATTATTATTAAAAAATGTCTTTCTTTTGATTAGTACGTTTGACTGAGGCATGCGCGCGTGCGCGGAGATCAACTTCGACAACGGCGAGACTTCTGCATGATAAACGGGTGCGCGGCATTAGAGACTGGTGGGGCGACGACCCGGTTTTTTTACTTACCCTCCGCGTTCCGGCTTTATTTTTATTTTTTATATTTTTTATTTTATTTGGATTTATTATTATTCCTTATTCCTAATGGTGATCGGTCCTGAGACCGACGGGGCCGGTTTGGTTGATACCCTGTTAGGCTAACGGGGAACGGGCCTGCGTTCGGGGTCCTGCGCGTTCGGGATGCCGGCGGGATCCTTAGTCCGTCCGGCTTGTAGCGCGGACCGAGGAGTTCGACGTGCATGCGAGCCGGTAGGTGACTAGCCCACAAGGCGGGAGAAACTAGAGTGGCGGGGGGGGCCTCTACGAGTGCGAGTATGCCCCGTCCACCAACCACGATCTGTTGTGGGAGGATCGGGTGTGAGTACGCCGCGGGGCTTCCCTCAGGGTCGGGTTTTAAAGTTCTCACTTGAATATTTACTACTCCCGCGAAGGCCTGCGTCGGGCCGTTTTGCCTGGGCCCGCGCTTGGGTACATAGGGAACCCGCACCCCGGCGCCACGGCTTGCTATGACAGGCCTGAGTAGGACTTACCTGTTGCAGGAATGAAGGGGTGGTGAGCCCAGCTTGGGGGAGCGGGTAGGACGCCCGGGGGACCGGCACCAGCCAGCAGGAAGGATACCTGCCACACAGGTGGGCGACACCGGTCGGGGGTTAGCTGACATGTGTAGAGCTTTCCCGATCGGCCAGGAGACCAATCGGTAGCACTAGAGACCTGTGGCAGGAGGTAAGCCACGAGGAAATATGCAGCAGGGCACTAAGGGGTACGGAAAGCCGAGAAGAGGGGGCAAATTTGGGCGCGGGTCGGTGCTAGGTGCATGCTGAAACGGCGCAGATAGGGGCAGAGCGGGGCTGTGGGGGACTCCCTGTGGAGCCACGAAGTAGCGCCAGCGTGCAAATCGTTCGTCGGACTTGGGTATAGGGACGAAAGACTAATTGAACCGGCTAATAGCCGGATCCTCCCGAAGTTCCCCCTCGGGCTGGCCAAGTAGTGCCGCGTTGCAGCAAACGAAGCAAAGGTAGCGCAGCGGGCAGTGATGCGGGTAGTACCGGGCAGCGGGGGAGGACAGCGGACGACCGAGGCGGGGATTGGGGAGAAAGGCAAACAGAGAGAACCCGACAGGTGCAAGAAGCAAAGCAGGCAGCAGCGGGGAACCTGAAATCAACGGAACCAAAACACTGATGAGTCGGTGTACAGCGGAACCTTTGTGAGATTGTATTACAAAACGAGTTTGCGAAAGAAGTGTTTCCTGTGATTTCTTGGACGGAGCAACTCTGCTGACGAGCCCGTGGGATTCAGACGCGAAGCGTCTGCTCTTCGAGCCTTTGCCAAGGTGGAAAACGTCATGTGCTAAGAAATGGAATCCTTCTCCCGTAGTGACTATGCGAGTTTGATCAGGCACAAAGTGCAGGCCCATGGGTTGGAGCCATTGTGATAGGAACCCTTGAGCGCCCTGAACAACTCTTCGAGCCTTGTGAAGAACAACGAAATCATCGGCGTATCTTACTAGGATAACTCGACCTTCGGCCGCCTGTTGCTGAGATCTCAAGTCTCGGGCTCGCTATTGACATCGAGCACGAATTCAGCCGTGGCTTACTGTCCACGTATACGCCCGCCGCCTGCTTGAGACGTGGACAGTAACGTATGGCCCGGAATGGGACCGGCTTCACGTATCAAGTCCGTTATCCTAACCTTACCTTGTGCTTCATCGAAGCCGTTCTTCGACTTTCGCGTGCTGCTTTCAGGCATGACCTATCACTAGGCATACCACGCACGTGTAGCTCACACCCTTGGCCTGGGCCAGCTTGAGATGGTGTGGCAGAGTTGGAGCCGCCCTGCAATCGAGATCTGCGACCTGGGCGCACTCAATAATTCCTTGCATCATAGGAGTGGCTGCATCTTGAAATCCGTATTGCCAAGGCTCTGCAGCGGCCATATAAGCAATCTGAAATAACCATTCGTTTTTCATTTTGTATTGTATGTTCTCGTTTTGTTGATGGGCCCGTAAGAGGTCGCAGGCTGCTTCACAAGTAGAGTAACAGGGGAATAAGGTGGATGAACGCGGACGGGTTGGCGCACCAGGTACCGTCGACACAAGGAGAGGCGGAGATGGCGAAGGGATAAACCGGGTGCGCAGCAGGAGAGAGGCAGCGCCCTCGATACTCCACAGTTCTTGACGAGCAAGGACTCGATCTTGGGGTTTTGACCCCAGGCGAGTCCGATTCTGGAGTTAGTTTTAGATAAGAGTTAGTAAGATTAAAGTTAGGTGAGTTTTGAGGTGCGTGAAAACTATGGTGGAGGGGAGGATAACAAAACAAAAGAATCGAGATATCACTCGATCCTTGACAGAATCGAGTGGGATAGGGACCGAGATAAGGGTTTTAGGAGCGGGCGAATCCGATTCTGAAGTCGGAATCACTAAAGAGTTAGTAGAAAGAAAGTGGGTAGGAAAAACGGTTGCGCGGAGGTAGCGAAAGGTGAGTGATGGCAGGGGTGAAAAACGGGTATCCCGCTCGATTCTCGTTGGAATCAAGCGGGAGATGGGGCAGATCGGAGTTTTTTGCGTGGGGCGAACGTAATGGTGAAGTCGAAACAGAGGATGAAGGAGTGTAGTAGAGGATATGGAGGAAATGCCGTGCGCGGGAGATGGCGGGGTGAAGGAGAATTAAGGCTAGAAACGTGGATTTCGCCCGTTTCTCAATGAAAACGAGCGACTGAAGATACATTTTGGAGAGTTTTTGGTGTTGCAAGTGTGATGGTAGTGTCGGTTTTGGTAGTAAGTTAGTGGTTTAGATGTTAGTCGAGAGAGGACGTGCGCGGAGTTATGGCGGGAATTAGATATGGCCGGGTGAGAAAATGAAGGTCCCACTCGTTCGTTGATGAAAACAAGCGAGGAAGGAGTCGTTTTGGGGGTTTTTAAAGGGTAGGGAACCCAGTAGTAGTGTTGGTTTTAGCGATAAGTTAGTAAATTAGAAGTTAGTAAGGAGTGCGTTAAGGCAGTGACTCACACCTCACTCATTTTATAGTAAGAACTGGTGAATGGGGATTTGAGCTCAGGGAAGGAAGGCATCGTGACTCCAATGGCAACATTAGAGTCCGCGTTCGGATAGCGCGCTAGTTAGGAGTAGTAGTGGGGACTGCTTAATGTATGGCGGGCGAAGGATCGTAGATGGGGGACTGAATGAACTCTCCCGCTTTTTAGCGGGAGATTCATCCTCAAGTTCACTCATATAGTGGGTAGTGAAACGAGAATCACTCCTGCAACAAGTATTGCTCCCCCCCCCCCCTTTCGATGGTTGAAGTACTAGCTGTGTCGATCACCGTGCTAATGGGGCTATTCGTTTTGGCACTGGCAATTGCTATATATCGTGTCGGGGGCGAGCATCCGGGTGCTGATCCTTGAGGATTGACATCGGCACCCCGCTGGTTGCTATCCGTGCTTCGGTGTCGTGCCACAAACCAAGAGGACTCTATAATGGTGCACTTGGCCGCAATGGTTTGAACTTACAACTGGGGACACCCATACTACAGTCGTTCACGAAAAGGGAGGGAAGCAGGGAAGGATTTCCGCCCACACGGTGCCGTTGGGACTGTCTCTAGAGGCAAAACAGGTAGTATGGGATGACAAGTATGCAGGGCTAGCATACCCAGCTGTTGAGCGGACGGGTGAGCGACAGGGGGCTGAGTGATTGACCAGCACTCTGTTGTTGGCCTTGATCTTCGGGGAGGTAGTCCGGAGCT